ACGTGCACCGGCTTATCCTTTTTATTTTTATATCGACCAAGTGTTTACGTTGAAAAAATTGTCATTCAATGATAAATATGCGTTAAAATGCAAATGTGAATTTAACTACGCAAAATATTTTAAAGTAATTCTCATCTCTCTGTATTCATTACTCATATATATTTGTTATTAGTATATTATATTGAAGACATTCGTTATTAAAATTGAAGAATACGTTTACTCGTACTTTTTGTCTAAATCGCGTACCGAATTTTATAAATATTCGGAAATTATTGCAAATATCAAAATTTTGTAATTTAGTCAAGCTTCGATGAGCATGACAAATTACGCAGCTTCGATATGATTACACTTACATCCGAAACTGTATATAAATGCAAATACGATAACATCATAAAGATAAACCGGTGAAGTTATTAAAATTGAAATAATTTCGCGACCGAGATGCAGTACGGTACGAGTATTTCTAACTGAAAATTCTGGAAGCATCTCGTTTAAAGTTTCTAACGGTTTCTAACGGTTTCTAACAAGGAAGCCATGTTGAATGCTTCAATTACGCGTTTGAATGTGCAGTAATTCTCTAAAATATTCTTATTTGATTTTAGCAGAGCTAATTATAAAGTCACGATTATGTTTAACGTAAAAACAACGAAAATGCAATAAAATAGAAATATGTTTAACCTATTTTGTTCTAATATGTTACCAAAAGTCACCAGTTTCCCGCCGAATTGCTTCTAATGGGAGTCCACAGTCGTCTCATCGGTGACGCGTTCCTTCTAGCCGGCATCCTGAAACAGAAAATACACGTTAATACGAAGTAGTTATACTAAATTCACAATGATTCAATCAAAACGAAACAATTATTGACTCGAGGAATGTTGCCAAAGATTGCAAAATGATCAAAAACTGCGTAAATACTAACTGGTATCGGGGGGAGAACAGAAATTGGGAAGCCGGTTCACTTTATCCAATAATACCGAGTTAATTTACGATTATTTACACGGAATTGAATAGATATTAAACGAAAGTAATGGTAGAGTGCTAACGAAGATACCAATAACATAAATAATTTAAAGAAATATGTAATAATACTTACTTCCCCAGGAGCGAGATCACTTGACGTCTAATCACTTCACCTTCACCGAGAAGAATGACCGTTAGGCTACCCATGACTGGCTATGATTGGTGGATCGGTGTGTGGAACGCGAGGATTGGTCGCCTCCCTCGCGCGCCACTTCCTATTACTACGAAAGAGAATATTTACCACCAAATTATATTTCAATACATTTTTCTTATATGAATCTGAAATTAATTCAGAAGGGAATGACTGTCATAAAAGGGAAACAAAGAGGCACACACTATCCCCGAAAATGTGATTTAGATTCGTGATTAAATTTGTTTTAGATCGAAAATTTTGTTGCCGTCTTCTCGAAGTTTTCAATCCTCCAATGGTTCTCTAACGCCATCTATGATGTACATATCCTGTCAATTTGACAATG